CGTGCCTGTAATCCCAGCTAATTTTTTGTATTTTTAGTAGAGACGGGGTTTCACCATGTTGACCAGGATGGTCTCGATCTCTTGACCTCGTGATCCACCCGCCTCGGCCTCCCAAAGTGCTGGGATTACAGGCGTGAGCCACTGCGCCCAGCCAGAATTTTTTTTTTTAAGTCTCAGGACAGAAGTATACAAGCATGACACTTCCTCTGGTACCTGACACAGAACTGACAGTAGTGGCTCCCCCATGAGGTTGGAAGGACGGTGGAGGACGTGACAGGGAAAGGAGGTGCTTTATGACCAAGGGGCTAAGCTGCAGCTTTGCTTGGAGCTTTACCACAAAACAAATATATACATCACGTGGTGTTTAAATATAAAAGTATACGGTTAATAATAATGGGGGGGGGGGCTGGGCACAATAGCTCGTGCCTGTAATTCCAGCAATCTTGGAGGTGGAGATGGGCAGATCAGCCTTGCCTGACCGCAGGCTGGTCAGGAGTTTGAGACCAGCTGTGCCAACATGGTGAAACTCTGTCTGTACTAAAAGTACAAAAATAATTAGCGGGGCATCGTGGTACATGCTTATAATCCCAGCTACTCAGAAGGCTGAGGCAGGAGAATCGCTTGAACCCAAGAGTCAGAAATTGCAGTGAGCCGGGATCGCGCCACTGCACTCCAGCCTGGGAGACAAAGCTAGACTCTGTCTCAAAAAAAAAAAAAATAATAATAATAATAATAATAGGTGGAATGAGAATATGGCTCCAAGTCTCACGCCTGCAGCCCTTCCCTCCCTGTCCGCTAATGCGCGAACTGGACCCGGAGCCGCCATGCCTATGTGCTCCAAGTGCGGACAAGGAGGTGTACTTCACCGAGGGGGTGACCTCTCTGGGCAAGGACTGGCATCGGCCCTGCCTGAAGTGTGAGAAATGTGGGAAGACGCTGACCTCCAGGGATCACGCACAGCACTACAGCAAACCCTGCTACAACCACCCATGCCATACGGCCATGTTTGGGCTAGAGTCTTTGGGCAGGGTGAAGCCGAGAGCCACACTTTCAAGTAAACGGGGTGGCGGAGGCCCCATCCTTGGCTGCTCACTGGACCACTCACTGGCCAGCAAATGCCAGGCCTCATCCCCAGATGACCAGGGCTCCCTTGTAGCCCTTAATGCCCTCAAGAAACCCGAACACGTGGGGGGGAAAAAAGGCTCAATTTTTTATAATAAAAATGAAATACTGCTACCATATTTGAAAACAAATATAACCAATTTTATGGAAAACACCCGTTTCACAAGCCTCTCCACCATAACACCACAGTCTCCGTCAGCTTATTGTGCTAAGAATGGTTTAATGAGGCGGGGCGCGGTGGCTCACACGTGTAATCCCAGCACTTTGGGAGGCGCAGGCGGGTGGATCACCACGAGGTCAGGAGTTCAAGGCCATCCTGGCTAAGATGGTGAAACCTCATCTCAAAAAAAAAAAAAAGGTTTAATGAATCTCCTGCTATTATTTAGGTTGGTTTCACATACTTAAACTAATGGAATAAAACCCCTTGTATCATTCATGTCTGTGAATGAACGTTCTATTCTAATTAGTAAGATTTTTGGAGTTAGAAACACGGTAACTCACTCAATTACCTAAACATGTAGCATAAAATCAGGCAGAAAAGACTTCCTCTTATTGGTCTGCTTTCCTAGAATTAACCAGGTGCTTTGTGCACATTAATACATGACTTCTATTGGCAGCTGCTCTACTCCTGGTCTACAGAGAGCTGACGGTGCATCCAGATGTGGCCCCTGAACAATCCCTGCTGCCCAGCAGCCCTGACACCACGGGGCCCACACCCCGTCTCCATCCACGTCTGGGGAGAGCCCTTCCCAGGACCATGCCCAGTGCAGCCTCTTCCCAGGCTCATGTCACTGGGTCACCAGACATGGAATCTAAGCAAGGTAAGGGACTGAAGGAAGGCATGGGTGAGTGCCAGCAAACCTGTCAGGCAGGACACTTCAGACTTAGAGAAGATTCCCAACTCCAAGGCCCAGCATTTCTGAAAGGAAGGAGACAGAACAATCCACCGAGAATATCATCTCACCTGAGGAAGAGCCATCCCTGACTCCTTTGCTTTCCTCTTCCTCTTCCGGGGCTCTTCCTCACGTATCAAGAGTCATTAGAAGTCAATCCTGAGGCCAGGCGCAGTGGCTCATGCCTGTAATCCCAGCACTTTGGGAGGCCAAGGTGGGCGGATCACAAGGTCAAGAGATCGAGACCATGGTGAAACCCTGTCTCTAAAAAAATAAAAATAAAAAATAAAAAAGCCAATCCTGAATGTTATAAATATGCTTGTTGCTCAGAATCAACACACCCCCTCCCTGTAACACAATGACACATATAAAGGAGACCTCACCCTGAGGAAATATGGTCCCCTTGTCTGCCCACTGCACCAGGGATGATAAACTCCTACAAGAAAACTAAGTGAATTTTTGAATCCTTTCTTCAGAACCTACTCCCCTCCTGGAGAAGCCCAACACACACACTGCATCAGTGGGAAGCTGGGCTAGAATGAGATCCCCTTCAGGGCACAGACCCAGCCTTCACCAAAGCCCAGGCAGAGGCTGGGTACAGTAGCTCGCGCCTGTCATCCCAGCACTGTGGGTGGCCAAGGCGGGTGGATCGCTTGAGCTCAGGAGTCCGAGACCAGCCTGGGCACCATAATAAAACCCTGTCTCCACCAACAACAAGAAAACGTAGCCAGGCGTGATGCACGTCTGTGTCTGTGGTCCTTTTTCTTTTTTTTCTTCAATTCTATGTTCAACAGCCAAAAACCTGGACATCTCACATTTTAGTCCTGCCTTGCAGTAACAGCTACTTAGAAGGCTGAGGTAGGAGGATCGTCTGAGCCCATGGGGCAGAGATTGCGGTGAGCCAAGATTGCACCACTGCACTCCAGCCTGGGTGACAAGACTGAGGCAAGAAAGAAAGGAGGCTGAGATGGGCGGATCATGAGATAAGGAGTTGGAGACCAGTCTGGCCAACAGAGTGAAACCCTGTCTCTACTATAAATACAAAAATTAGCCGGGTTTGGTGGCGGGCACCTGTAGTACTAACTATTTGGGAGGCTGAGGCAGGAGAATCACTTGAACCTGGGAGGTGGAGGCTGCCAAGACCATGCCATTGCAGTCCAGCCTGGATGACAGAGTGAGACTCCATCTCAAAAACAAACAAGTAAACAAACAAACGAAAAAGGAATACTTTAAACCCACAAAACTTTGTCAGTGGGGCCCTGGAGATGCTCACCCTGGAGCCTACTCCCACCTTGTGGAGTGCTCTCTTGCTTCAGTAAATCCCTACTTTCCTTTGTTCTTTTGTTACTCTGTGTGTGTGTGTGTGTGTGTGACTGAAGCAGAGTCTTGCTCTATCACCCAGGGTAAAGTACAGTGGTACAATCTCAGCTCACTGCAACCTCCACCTCCAGGTTCAAGCAGTTCTCATGCCTCAGCCTCCCGAGAAACTGAGATTACAGGCACGTGCCACCACACTCAGCTAATTTTTGTATTTTTAGTAGAGGCCAGGTTTCGCCATGTTGGCTAGGATGGTCTCAAACTCCTTACCTCAGGTTATCCACCAGCCTTGGACTCCCAAAGTGCTGGGATTACAAAAACCTGGACATCTCACATTCTAGTCCTGCCTCCCAGTAACAAGAGGGAGAAAATGGGTTAACAAACTTGCCTCCAGAAAGAGCACATTCTCCAGGGATTGGAACTGGGGAGAAGCAGGGCTCAGAATGAGGAGAAAGGAGGTCAGGAGCTCAAAGAGATTCAGAAATTTGGCATGAAAAAGATGGGAACTCCAGGTCTATGCATTGATATTGGGCTCAACAAAGCTGTCTAGCCAAAGGAACAAGGAATCTCCCATACCATGTTTGTGTGCAGTTGGCCAGAAAATGTAATGAGGATAAAATTCACCCAATAAACTCTTTTTTTTTTTTTTTTTTTTTTTTTTTTAATGAGATGGAGTCTTTCTCTGTCATTCAAGCTGGAGTGCAGTGGCAGGATCTCAGCTCACTGCAACCTCTGCCTCCCAGGTTCAATCAATTCTCCTGCCTCAGCCTCCTAAGTATCTGTGATTACGGGTGTATGCCACCATGCTCGGCTAATTTTTTTTTTGTATTTTTAGTAGAGACAAGATTTAATCATATTGGCAAGGCCGGTCTCGATCTCCTGACCTTGTGATCTGCCCACCTCCACCTCCCAAAGTGCTGGGATTATAGGGTGGGCCACCATGCCTGGCTCACCAAATAAGCTGCACATTGTGGTTACCTATGTTCCTGTTACCACTTTTTAAAAATCTGCACTCAATGTGGAGGAGAACAAATCAACAATTGTGAAAAGAAAAGTCGAATAAAGTTAAGGCGAGATACGGTGGCTCATGCCTGTAATCTCAGCACTTTGGAAGGCAGAGGCAGGCAGATCATCAGAGGTCCAGAGTTTGAGACCAGCTTGATCAACATAGAGAAACCCCTTCTCTACTAAAAATACATTAGTGGAGTGTGATGGCACATGCCTATAATTCCAGGTACTCAAGAGGCTGAGGCAAGGGAATTTGTTGAACCCAGGAGGCAGAGGTTTCGGTGAGTCAAGATCACCCCATTGCACTCCAGACTGGAAAACAGGAGTGAAACTATGTCTCAAAAAAGAAAAGGAAAAAGGAAAAAAAAAAGGCCAGGGGAGGTGGCTCATGTCTGTAATTCCTAGCAGGCTGACTTGGGTGGATTGCCTGAAATCAGGAGTTGAAGACCAACCTAGCCCACACAGTGAAACCCTATGTCTATTAAAAATAAATAAATAAATAAATAAAATAATTTTAAAAAGGTACTCTGTAGGCGAAGCACAGTGGCTCATTCCTATAATCCCAGTACCATGGGAAGCCAAGGCAGGAGGATCATTTGGGCCCAGGACTTTGAGACCAGCCTAACAACCTAGTGAAACCCCATTTCTACAAAAATAAATAAATAAATAAATAAATAAAAATAAAAACAAACAAACAAACTAGTCAGACTTGACGGCTCATGCCTGTGGTTCCAGCTTCTCAGGAAGCTGAGGTATGAGGATCACTTAAACCCAGGAGGTCGACGCTTCAGTTAGAGATCATGCCACTGCACTCCACCCTGGGTGACAAAGCCAGACCCTGTCTCAGAATATTAATGAATGAATTAAAATTGTTACGTAATAACAGAAAGTAATTCTTTTCCCATTTCACTGCCCCACTTCCTACCCAACTCTGGGAAAAGAAAAGAGAGTGACTCACAACTGAATAAGTCACTGTCCTCTGGCTGAATAGGGATTCCAAGTGGAAGCTAACCTCTGACGCCAAGATTCATAGAATGTACATGTCTTACAGATAGGAATTTTAAAATTCTCAGTCTCATCTGTATAATTTAAATTTTTTTTTTTTTTTTTTTAAATAAAGATGGGGTTTTCACCATGATAGTCAGGCTAGTCTTCAACTCCCAACCTCAGGTGATCCGCCCGCCTTGGCCTCCAAAGTGCTTGGATTACAGGCATGAGCCACCACGCCCGGCCTAATTTAAATAAGTTTTAAGTTATTAGATTATATACACAGGAGTCAACATATTACAACTAATCACATCCAATGAAGTCACACACTGAACCCAAATTACCCTGCCCTTTTTGTCTTTTGAGACAGGCTCTTGCTCTGTTGACCACGCTGGAGTGCAGTGGAATGATCTCCGCTCACTGTAGCCTGGACTTCCTGGGCTCAAGTGATCCTCCTGCCTCTGTCTCCAGAGTAGCTGGGATTACAGCTGTGCACCATCACTCCTGGTGAATTTTTCTTTTTTTGGCAGAGATAAATGTCTCACTATGTTGCCCAGGCTGGTCTCAAGCTCCTGGACTCAGGTAGTCCCCTTGCCTCAGTATCCTATAGTGCTGGGAATACAGGCATGAGCCACTGTGCCCAGCCCCTCTTTCTTCATTACTGTGCTTCCCTCCCTAATTCTGCAGCCTGGATCTCCTGGGCGCATCTCCTGCCTCGGCCTCCAGAGTGGCTGAGTGCAGGTGCACACCACCATGCCCGGTGAATTTCTTTTTTTCTTTGGCAGAGATGGGGTCTCACTATGCTGCCCAGGCTGGTCTTGAACTCCTGCACTCCATCAATCCCCTTGCCTCAGTCTCCTGAAGTGCGGGGATTACAGGCGGGAGCCACTGCTCCCAGCCCCTTTCTTCATTACTGTGCTTCCCTCCCTAATTCTGCACATCTCTCTCATTCTCCCCTTCTCTCTAGCTCTTTTCTTCTTTTTCCCTGGGATTCTGCTCCTCATTTTGTACCCCTCTTCTCTCCTGCTGTTTATTCCCTTCGTCCCTATATTCCTTCTCTTTCCTTCTCTTCCACCTCTTCTGCTCCATTTTCCCCATTTATTTAACCTCTTATTGCTGCTTCTCTCCAATCTTGTGAACCTCCTCAATCTCCATGTATTTCCGCCTCTTCTCCCATCTCTGCCCCATCTCTGCTCCATTTTCCCCATTTATTTAACCTCTTATTGCTTCTTCTCTCCAATCTTGTGAACCTCCTCAATCTCCATGTGTTTCCGCCTCTTCTCCCATCTCTGCCCCTTCTCTGCTCCATTTTCCCCATTTATTTAACCTCTTATTGCTTCTTCTCTCCAATCTTGTGAACCTCCTCAATCTCCATGTGTTTCCACCTCTTCTCCCATCTCTGCTCCCCGTTAAATTATCTCTTCCCTGTTATACCACCCTCTCCCCACTCTCTGGCACCCCAGATCCCCAGGTGTTCTCCCTGCTGTGGTTCTCTCTCTGTTCCCCGTTAAAACTCGTGCTCTGAATGAAGAGATCCTCTAAACAGGCTTTGTGTGAGTTTATTCACCAGGAGTGGGCAGGCTGTGTGAAAAGAGAGTCAGCAGAGGATGGTGGGACAGGACTTGGTTTTATAGGTTTGGGGTAAGCAGTGGAAAGTTACAGAAGTTACGGATTAGGGTGTTTTTTGCAAGCTGGGAGGGGGTCTCAGGTCTGGAGTCAGGAGGCTGATCAAGGTCAGTTACGAAGTCCAATTGCCTTATCAACTGGGGTGGGAATAAAGAAAAACAGAGACTGTCTCAAAGTTAAGTAGGCACCACAGGGGTGGATCATTTCTTCCCCTTTTCATGGCCTTCCAGTTACTACAGATTTTCCAAGAACTCATCTGGAGTGTCCATACAGGTCACAGAGGTTAACATGGCATCCAGGGCACCATCAGTCAGCCTAAAAGACCATACATTCTCCTTGCCACCGGCACCCTCTGCTCTGTCTGCCCGGCTCCAAATCCCTCCTCGTCTCCCTCACTCTCCTGGGCCTTCCTCTTTGCTGCCCCATTCCTGCCTTGCTGTCCTTCATCTCTCTGTACATCTTGCTTTTCTCTACACTTCTCCAGTTGCTTTTCTCCTCCTGCTTTCTTATCTTTTTTTCTCGCTCTGGCTATCTTGAAGCAAAAAATGAGAGGAGAAAAACAGATTTTCTTTTTTTCCTGTTATAAGCAAAACGTTCCTGAACCCTCAGGAATAACAGGGAAGATGCCGCCTGGCGGTGGCGCGTCTCAGAAACGACAGAAGCTTGACTCCGCCGTAAGACAAACCCCAGACACCACCGGCTCACAAAGCCTTCAAAGCGCCCAGGCTGCAGCGTGGAGCCACCCCTCTGGACCTTGCTTCCAGTGTCAGAAATCTGGCCACTGGGCCAAGGAACGCCGGCAGCCCAGGACTCCTCCTAAGCCCTGCCCCATCTCTGCGGGCCCCCACTGGAAGTCAGAACATGTGACTCACGTCGGTGCTTCTCGGCTCGGCGGCTGAAGACTGACGCTACCCAAACACCTCGGAAGCCCCCGTACTCTCATGGGTGCCGAGA